CCTATATAATCCCCTATATAACCCCCCTTTAAGGAGTTTAGACTATAGCCCCACATAACCCTAAACCTGTCCTGGGTCTTCTGCGCCTCAAGGGCCGCAGCTTCCTTCTGTGCAGCCTTCTGAACCTTCTTCTCTTCAAGCCTAAGAACTGGGTTGGCCCCTAAAAATCCTTGAAAACTGTTTGTATCTAGGGTCCAATATGAAAGCCGTTAGGGAAAATGTCAAATATCCCCAGGGGCCTACCCAGAGAAGATCAAGGGAACTCTCAAGAGGCGGCTCGGTTTAGGGTTTAGGGCATTCCCTTAGGGCCTTAAGGACACCAGGGATATGTAAGGATCATATAGAGGTTCCTATTATGATGTGTAATACAGGAACTATTCTCAGAACCTGCCATATGACAAGAACGCAGTCTGGCTTGTGGAGCTGGGGCTTGCGCGCGGCCACAGCTAAGAGGGCTTGGAATACATTATGCTGCCAATGTCCATGTGCGCCCAAGTAAGGCTTCATGTTGTACCTAGCAGTGATTCAGGCCGCTCGAGACGTACAGCCTGGAGCAAGTAACAAGAGATGACGATCCCATGCAGATGCTTTCAGAACACAGCCAGGCAGCAACTATTGAAGTCTGAGATGAGGGAGTTTCTCAAAGTTTGGGGGCCCGCAAGCCCTGGGGATATAGGGGAAGCATAAAGGAATTATGGGTTTTAGGGTAGGAGCAATTTGGAGAAATATGTATATCTGCATCTGAGATAAGGGCCTCTTCTTCCGTGTTTCACTTTGCTGGTACGTGTGCGCTCGGCTGGCAGGGCTCTTCTCCTGTCAGGCAAGGCTTGGGCTGATATGAGCTTTAATCTGAACTCCAAAGCCTTATATTATATATTAGTCCCCTATGTAACCCTCCTTCAAGGAGTTCAGACTACAGCTCCCATAGGTTTGAGGTTTCAGGCTTTAGGGTGCAGGGGTTCAATAGGAGCATAGACAGCCTTGCCTCAAGTCAGTGGGGCCTCCCGGCTTCCTCTACGTAGGTCGAGCTCATCAGACAAGTGCGTGGGCTCACTGCAGTTGAGAGATTTTTGTATATATGAAAGCTAAAGTGCGTAATCATACCACGACCTGCGCCCCTTGCAGCTCAAATCCTGAACAAACGCAAGGCAAACCTCAGCAAGAATTTCATCATGTAGAAAGATGCTCCCTAAGCGCCAAACCCATAATGTAGAATGGCGGTCAAACCATAAACAGATCTTCCTGACAAACGTTCGCCGAGGGAAGAACGAACTCAGACCCACCGAGCCCGGACACCGCTGAATCGTTGGGAACACAGGGTTTAGGGATTTACGTTTTAGGATTTAGGGCTTGCGGCTTGGGGTCTAGGGTTTACGGAACATAGGGCCCAACCAATTAGCAGCAAGGCATTGCGATCATAGCCCTTCCTCTCTTTGGCAATGGCTTCTGGGTGCTACCACTTGTCTCCCGTAACTCTTATCTATCATCTCGTGGCCTATATATGTACACTCCCCCACGCCCCCTGCAGCACCAGTAGGCTAAACCCTAAACTCTAAACGCTAGTTCAGTCATTCTTGCTTGGTGGCTCTTTTGGGCTTTCATGTTTTGGTGCACTAACGCCAACGCCCCATTCCTGTCCCACACCCCTGTAACCACTTTATAGGCCCCCACAGTGTCCTCAGGATTTTGTTTATAGTGGTCCTCAAAACCTAAACCTGAACCCCTAAAGCTTTCACCGCTCAACCTCTTAACTCCCAAACCCTGAAAGCGGGCTTATTCTGAGCTTCTGGCAACAGGGCCAGATTGGGGCAGCAAGTCCCTGCGCAAAAGGCAGGGTTTAGGGGCTTAAGTTTAGGGCCGAGGGATTTAGAGGTGCAGGGGTTCAGAAGCTTGGGGTTTGAGGGTTAAGAGGTTCAGGTTTTGGCATTTATGACGGGAAAATATTTTCACATCCCACGCCCTTACCCAATGTGGGCTCAGGGTTCAGGGTGTCGAGTTTCTGAAAACTAACAGCTAGATGTGCACCACCCAAAATGACGTCAGTTTTACCAGAGCAGCCGGAGCCATTGCGCTTGTTATCGCGGGGTTTCTGATCGGACTCTGCCAGAAACGCATCATAAAAGAATATGCGGAAAACCCTAGGCCCTAAATCCTAAACCAACGTGGAACCCCACAAGAGGCCCTGCAAAGACAGGCGCACATGTCGGGGTTGATAAGAAGGTCCGTTGGGCCCAGGCATTTGATTCAGGGAACCTGTAGGTCTGTAAGGAAACATAGGGACACCGTTTCCATGATGGCCACTTTGGGACTCAAAGTGAACACTTTCGTGCTACTTTGCTGCTGCTTCTTGGTAATCCTCACCCATGCCAGTGAACTCCCCTCCCTGATCATCAACATGTCCTTAAATTCGTGAATGGCTTTGGAAATGTCAACTACAGGCATGTTTTTCTCTTTTTTAAGTCTTCTTTCAGGGAAGGGTATGAAATTCCCGAACGCGTACAATGCTACAGCCTGAGGAGCCATTGTTGCTATGGTTTGACAAAATGCCGCAAATATAGTGTAGCACCATGACGCTCAGGTTCTTGGTATATGGTAATTTTCAAAAACAATGGCATGCCCAATAGCGCCCTGTTTGCTATAGTCCTGATACTGGTGACTGCCAAAAAAAGACCCTTAATCCTCGACCCAAACAGGGCACCCCGATCTGCCTCAACCCTAAACCAAAATACTTTCAACCGATGTGGTACATAGGGCAATGACTGATTTTCCCCGTCGACAGAAACAGTGTTAAGTGAACCTGACTTCTCCTTTCCGCTGTCAAAACCATAAGACCGCAACTTGAGGCCATAAGGAAGAAAAGCACCCATTCTAGGCTTCATCAGCGCAAGCAATAGTGGCAGATAGTAACAAATAGCAATGATGAGACGTAGCAATAACAGGAGCACCAATACAAAATCATTTACAATGAGCAGAGATGACAAGTTGCAGTAATAAATCACTCGGGTTTAGGGTTTAGGAATAAAAGCTTGTCTTTCTGAAGGCTTGGGGCTTAGGGTGCCTCCTAGCTCAAGCCCTCCAAAATTGTCGAAGCTTGCGAAAGTGCTCCTGCCCCTCCCCAATCCTACCTCCCCCCCTAAGATGAAACATAGTCCACTTTAGAAGGATAGTCTGGGTTCGATAACCACCCCGCCTTCGCCCCGTTTAGCATCCCCGCAGGTTCATCTTGAATTACGGTTATGCAGGATCATTCAGCCTCATCACGCGTAGGGGATAATTTAGGCTAATAATGGGGTAACCTGGAGGAAGTAGTAGTATCATCAGGGGGGAACAGGGAACCACATGATAAACCCTACAGTAAGCCGTCAGGCCTCAGATTTGCCAATGCCTTGAGCATATCGTGCAAGGAACTGCTGGGCGGCTCTGCAAACCATTGCCGAAGGCTCTCAGTGGCCTCGCGATCGCTGACTTGGGCAGTCTGTCCATAAGGCTTACAGTCCTCCTTAAGTAGATAGATAATGGGGTATATGGGAATCTTACTATAACATACCCAAAGCCATATTCTATCTCCTTAAGGGGGACTATAAGGTGTAGCTGGTCCATACCGTGGGAGTTGAGTTCCCAGACTACCTTCCTGCGCCACTGCCAGAAGCGGTTTAGTTCCAGAAACAAGCTCAAGCGTCTCCAAACACCGTAGCCTACTACCAGCCTCAAGTCTAGCTGTCAGTCCTTCTGTAACTGTATAGTCCCCCGTAATTGAATAGAATATGGGGTATATGGGGATCCTATTATGATAGGCGGGCGCGGGATTCAGGACGTCAAGCATTTTCTTGAAAGGGCTGGCATTTGTGAGTTTTTTCTTATTCTAGAGCGTGTTCGGGGTGCGTAAGGGAACCCAGGAAAATTCTGCCTGGGGTCACTTTCTGATGCTATTTCCCTATAAAGCCTACTGTACTGAGGCCTCGAGAATTTAAGACGTCACCGCGTTTGTGCAGGGGAATTTCAGACGTCAAAGGCTGGGAATCTGTTTTACAGAAGTTGATTGTTGCTGCTTTCAGGCCTGATGACTTGCCTCCTTGCTGTTGCAGTACTCATTCCAGAACAGATGGTGGACTGAGCCAGTGCCCTCCCTGTGAAGGAGGCTCCCATGCCTTCTAATTTCAAGCAGCCGCAACACACCAAAACCCTGAACAACTTTGAAATCTACCCCGGATCGAACTCCAAGTATCCCCTCAAATCCAGAAAACCTTCTACCAGACATGAGAACCAGTTTAAAGCACTGAAAGACACCAAACTCGCCACAAAAACTCGCCACAAAAACGCGCTGAACTCCCCACCCAAATCCCTCTTTGTTCTTTAAAGCAACCATTGACGTCTTAAATCCCGCGCCTGGCTGAACATATACCCAAAGCCATATTCTATCTACTTAAGGGGGACTATAAGCCTTGCTTGGTCAGCCCCATAGCCAACAGCTGTCCTCATCCACCTCCTCCAGCAGATCCCTGGGCATCAAATCATATATGTTGTGCTGGAGCGCGTGGTGGCAGGGGCAGCAGGAGGAACAGCAGTAGCAGTAGCGGCAGCAGTAGACAATTCATGAAGTCTGCTACAAAGACTATGCAGTTGGTTATCCATCAGGGAGTGTCTGTCCTGATGTAGTCTGCAAGCACTGGTCACCCTGTATGAGTCTCGAGTGTTGTGGGCCTACTTTTTGAAAAGCTTCTGCAGTCTCAGTGAGCGGCCTTCTACAGGAAGCGCATGCAAGAGGGGTGCCCGCTCATTTTGTAACTGCGTGCGCGCGTCCTAGCCTTTCGGTTTCATCACGTGCTGGGAGCGAAGGAGTGCTCCGATGGGACCGTCTCGTCAAAGTCTTGTAGATGCACCCTATCATGTAGAACAAGATCGACCGCAACTACAGGATGTAGCTCTGCAAGTTCCAGGGCAACGGGGCTCATCCTCGTCTTCTCCGAGCAAGTTTGCCTTCATGAATACCTTCGTGCGGGTCAGGTTGCACTAGATTGTAAAGCCTCTTGTAGGTCGGAGATGCAGGACTGTAAGAAGGACACCTCAGCCTCTTGTATCAACTCGCTGGCTGAACCTCCTGCAAAACCAAGAGGACATGCTGGTGACTATTGATGGCCTTAAACTTACCTAAACCCTAATCCCTAAACCCTAATCCCTAAACCCTATGATTAGCAGGCCATGATGGGTTGGATCCGTATACCAGAGGTCAGTAAGCCCGCAGGTGGCTACGGATTGCCTCCAACAGGGTCTCCCGACTTAAGCCCTACGATCGCAGGGGTGTAGGGTTTGGGGTTTAAGGTTTAGGATTGGGGTTTAGGGTTTAGGGTCTCAGTTTTGGCCAACACCTACCCAGGTTGGTCCTTGTTCGCTGGTCTTGGCAACTTTTTTCGACATCTCAGCCTTCTTGGCGCCCCACTTCTTCGCCAAGGTGGACTTTAGCTGGCTGTGCTCCTTGCTGGCCATTTTACGAGACTTTCAGACCCTGAACCTGTGCTAACTTGGGACTGTTTTCTACAGAAAAAATCACCAGTAAGCGTGAAGTTGTTGTAATTTGCTCAGTCCTTGGGCACATCTGCCAAAGCCCTTGTGACAATCTTGCGGAGTGCCACATCACAGGTGTGGCTATCGCTCTGCACCTCCTCCACAGCCTCCGGCACTACCGGCACAGGCCTCCAAAAATCTTCGTGGCCCTGCCAAATCTTCAGGCAGGCCCCAACCTGCTCCTTACCGATGCTTAATTTGTTGGTTGTCAGAAGGGAATGAAGGAAAGGAAGAGAAAAATTACGTTATTATGCTATATTCGGGCTACAACCCACAAGTTGGCACCAATCTCTTCACCTTACAACTACCATCTAAGGTGGCTTGAACCTTATGGGTGAGGGGTGGATCCAGGAGCAAATTCCTTGATGGAACGCCGGTAATACATAGGCTTACTTGGCTTCTGACGATACCGCCTGGCTGTAGGAGATATCCCCTCACACCACAAATGCTGTAAGAATGGCATCTTTTGACCCACGGAGCTCCCTTGTATACCAGGAGACCCCAAAGATACGGGGAGCAATACATGGGGGTTTCCCAAACTTAGGGGTACCTTTTCGAGGGTCACGAAATAGTAAGGATTATAATATTTAGGGGTCTATATTGGGGTCCCCCTTTTTAGACCAACTCCCATATGAACTCACTCCAGTAAGGCTCTTCCGTAGAGTTTGCGCAAGCGTCAATCAGGGTGCTGATGCCCTCCTGCTGGGATTTTGGTCTAATCTACTGGTTGTCCACTATGAGTGACACTACAAATCCTGCACGATCCCAACTACCTCAAGACCTTCAGAAAATGGTACTGTCGTGTACCAAGGTCGTGCATAATATTTAGTAAGCAGTAAGAGCACCCAATGCAAAGTAGCAAGAGCACTGAACGCAGGATGAAGCCCTTTAGTAGTCCATAGATACTGCCCAGTAGACTATGCATAATCCATTCCGCCATCCCTACGAATCTCCAGGGGATTAACCCACAGATTTCACGTCGTCTCAAAATCCCTGAAAAGCACCCGGAGCATCCGAAGTGCGAAGCTCATATCGTACATAACCCTACTAACATGGGTGGTTGTCAAAATTATGGTCCCTTTTTGGGTACCCTAAAGATTAGGTGCCATATTATAATACGGATCCAAAAAGGAACCATAATTTTGACAACCACCCACATGAATCAAACCGTTGCTCAGCCTTTTGAGCCTACAATAGCCCATTACCATTCAGCCTAAGCCCCTCTGAGCCCAAAAGCCGAAGCGCCTCACTGCTTAAAAGCACTTAGAGCGTGAAAAAGTGCGAACTTCACATTGCACATAATCCTACTAATATTCATCCTACCGTTGCTCAGCCTTTCAATCCTATGCCACAGTAAATTCAACCGAAGCTTCCCTCAGCAACCAACCCTAAGCCCCCAAGAAGCGTGTTTTGGTATTCCTACTCCCCAAAAACATTGTAAAGTAATATCCCTAAACCCTAAATGATCCCAATTCAACCCCAAAGCCTCAACCCATTTTCAAGTCCAAACAAATGAAGTGGTCCTGGGCTTCCCATGTTCCACCACCTTCTGGCGGCCACTCAAACGCCTCTGCCATATGGCGAATGGAGAATTCCTGAAGGCTTTAGGGTTCCCTAAGCGCTACACTCCTGGAAAACTAACATGGAAACCCAAAAGGGGCCCTATGAAGACTACAGTCCCTTTAAAATGGGGCTATATGGGTTTCCATGTTAGTTTGGGGGAGCGTAGGTTCCCTAAACACTATTTCAGGGTTCCCTAATCGCTCGGTTCCCTAAACCCTAAAACCCTAACCCAGGGCTTAGGGTTCTTTTGAAGAGAATGCCACATCATACAGCCTAGGATAAACGGTGGGAGTCAAACCATACAGCTTATGACGTAGGGTGTCCATATCGGAGTTTGCCGAGTTTACCATTCCCCAAGAGGAGGACCTTTATTCCCAGTATTCTACAAATCTAATGGCATTCCACGAGTGGCTTCTCATAAAGATCCAATAGGAGAATCTACACGGCCCCACAGAGTTAGCACGTATGGCTGGTTGTTGGGAGATCATTAACAATCTTAGCTTGATATCTCTTAGTGGCTCTTCAAGTATCCGTTAGCAAGTCAAAAGCCATGTCCAGCAGTGATCTAGACATGGTAGTTTCCCAAAATAGGGGAACCCCAACATAGACCCAACAATACTATAGTCTTCTTGGGACCCAGATGGTGGCCCCCAATTTTGTGAACCCCCTCAAATGTAGCTCAGATTCTGGAACCCTTGAGCGAGCATCACGTTGCTCATTCCTTTGAATGCAGACCTCCTCGGACGCTTGCAGAAAGAGTTGTCGATAAGCACAGGAGCATTCCCGGCAAAGGTGATACCACCGCTTCCTCATGCTCCGGTAGTACATGTTGTCATCTAAGACTATCACCATGCCATGCTCTGAAGCAGAAGAGGCTTCCAGCAGCTGTCGAACATCTGACACCACCTTCATCCTAGCCTGCTGCCATGTGTCTGGGTCGAACTTACTCTGATCGAACCTCAACCCCTGCTCCACCTCGTCGTAGCAAACATGCACCCACTTTGCGCCCAGACCTCCCTGGGCCACCAGTGCTCGGCAGAAGGAAGTCTTCCCTGAGCCGGGCAAGCCACACACGAGAAGCAGACAAGCGTGGGCGACTAGAGCATCTTGAGCCATGCCTGGCACATTGCAAGCAGAGTATGCTTGAGCCGGTATGGCACCAGTGAGGCGGCCCTTCAACATTAGCCTGAGCACCTCTCTGCGACATCCTAGGGTTTAGGGTTTAGGGTTTAGGTTTAGGGTTTAGGGTTCAGGGAACCACACGTACTGTGAACTTGGAGAACTGCAAGACATGATCGCCAAGGTGCTGAAGGTGCGTGACATGCGGCGAGGCAGTCTCCAGGAAACCATCGAGCCTGGGCATGATGTGGTGGGGATCCAAGAAGAGGCCTGGAATATTTTCATTGTAGCATATTATGGTATATTATGGTAATTCATGGTATGTTATGATATGTTATGGTATATTATAGAATTTTATGGTATATGATGGTGTAGCATGGTCATTCTCTGGTAATGAAACAGCCCACCCTACCGTCACGAATCGCTGCTATCGATTTGTTCCCGCCTTGCTGGGCTCGTCGCAGGAGCCTGGAAATGCGGAATTATGGGATTCAGTGTTTAGAGTTATAGTCCCCCTTAACTAGATAGAATGTGGGTATATTGGGAACTTGTTGTAATATACGAAAAACCACATCCAAGGTGGTTCAAGGCTGTTTGCGATTGCCGTCTTCCCTCAAATTAAATGTAACAATGACACCGCAGCCCAAATTACAATGTCAGAGCTTTCTCACAACTCCGTACCCTCCCAGAGACAGACATGGAACCCCATGTAGCCACCCTTTCGGAAGGGCAGTAATTTCAGGGACCCCTTTTTAGATTCCATATCAGTTTAGCTTTCGGAGAATCATCACCCTCTTGCAGGTTCGGTTCAGAAGCTGTCAGACGGTGAGAGCTTACAGCCGTTGCGACCGAGGCGCTCGCGCCCCCAATGCCTCCTAAGCCCCCTGCCCCAAACCCTAAACCCTCTGAAGCACATAGGGAAAAACCTCAACCGCCTGTCCCTGGCCCCCCCATATAACTCCTAAATCTTAAAATCTCATCCCCAAACCCGAGGGACTGATATCGGCGAGATTCTTCAGGATTATTATAAGGATTCCCTAAACCCTAAACCGAAATTTAACTCCCCTGCGGCCACCTTTACCACCCTAAACCCTAAACCCTGAACCCTGAACCCTGAACCCTAAATCCCTAAACCCTAAATCCCCTAAACCCTCACCACCCCCCCGGAGTCCAGCCTCGACCTTGCTGGAGGTCTCAAGATACCTAGGCCAAACCGGTCACTAGGGGTCTAGGGTTTGGGATTTAGGGATGAGGGTTTAGTGATTTAGATTTAGGGATTAGGGTTTAGGGCTTGATTAGGGTTTAGGGGTTATAAGGGGTAAAAGATTTAAAGAAAACTAGGGATTTGCGGATTAGGGTTCAAGGGGCTTAGGGTGTTGGGGTTTAGGGATTTGGGGGTTTAAGCTGTTCCGGCTGCCAGTGCACTGGAAAAGCTATTCCGAGGTGGTCGGGTGGACGGTTTTTGGTTTGAAGGTTCTTGGGTGTCTTGGGGATTTCCTCGTTATGGTGTAGCATTGCGGTCTGAAGGGCTAAGGCGAAGGCTTAAGGTCCATGAACGTACTGGCCGAAGAAAGGTGGCTGCACGGAACAACCGAAAATCACTAGCCAACCCATCCGGTAACAGTTTGGGCAGCGGAAATTGTAAAAATGTCTCTTGTTGCCTTGCACTTCATGTTAGTCCGGTCCCTTTGACTGGGTCATTGTTGAGGAACTTAAGTTGTCAGGTTCTTTTGGGTACATAGTGCGTAATTGGGTTTGCTAATACGGTAACTTCATTTAAGTTCCTTAACCATGGAGATGATGCAGTTGATGGAAAAACTCGCAAATGAATCTCCCATCGTTCGCTTGGGCTGCTCTGGAGGCTAGCATTTTGTTCAAGCAAGCGTTGCCCTGAAGGAACACATGGGGGTTTGCAAGCAGTAGGGGGCCCTTCTTGCAGGTCCTGATTTGGGGGTATGTTTCTGGAAATACTTAGATTACTAAATTAATACCCTAAACCCTACGCCCGCGACTCTAAGCCGCAGCGGCTACAGGTGAGAATCACATGGAGAGTGATGAGAAGAAGTACGCGCCAAACCCTGCTGGCTAGTTTCCATAAATAGGACCCCAGTATAGACAACACAATAATGTAATCCTGCTTATGGGGCCCCCCGGGTTTAGGGTTTAGGGGTTCTGGGGTTTAGGGTTTCCTAAACCCTAAACCCTTTTGGGAAACCCTAACTTCACAGCCCCAGCAGCTTCTGTACTTGCTTGGTCTGGTTGGCTAAGTCCTCGCAGGCCGAGAGGAGCTGAGAGTTGGGTTATTTGAAGACCCTTACCCAAATAACACATAGGGGTTTCCCAAAATTAGGGGTACCATTTTGGGGGTCCCAATAGTAAGGATTATAGTATTTTGGGGTCTATATTGGGGTCCCCCTATTTAAGGAAACTACCACATGGAACCCATTCTAAGCTGCTTTTGCAAGGACAATGGTCTATTCCGGGGCCCTTTTGGAGTTCTCCATCTTGATCGGCCTCGAAACAAGGCTTTTTTCCAGGAGTTCTCCGGGCACCCATGACAATGGCCATGACCATGAGGGTTTAAGAAAGAAAAGGGTTTAGGGTTTGGAGTTTAGGGTTTAAGCCTACTTTGTGATTCTTGCTGAGACCCTCTCCCTCTCATGGTTTTGTTCCTTCTCATGGTTTTGTGTAGCCATGAGCTCTAAGCCTTCAAAGCCTAACCTGCAACCCCATAATGCCTCTGCACTCCCTACAAATCCCTGCATTCCCTGCAGGCCCTGTTTCCTTGAGAAAGCCCTTTTTGCAGAACCCCAGGGGACCGGTGAGGATTGCCTCCTCTTATCCGTGCTGTTGGTAATGGCTTGGACGAGCCAACGCTGGTCCGACACGCAGCGCTTCTGTTGCGCTACCCGGGCAGGCTGGTTGTCGGAGAACGAAGTCAAGCATGCGAGGCGGGGCTGCCTCTCCTGCAGGGATGGGCTTCGATTTTCTTCAGGAAGGTTTGCTTTGCGGGATGCGTGCCCGGAGCGTGATTACGTGCAGGACCAAGAGAAAACCGCTTGGCTATTCTGGCACGCAGGCGCAGTTCCGGCGCTGCCCCGTGATGTATGCTGGCCAGGCACAGGCGCATTACAGATTGACAGCCGTCTCTGCTTGTGTGAAGCGTTATTCCTCTCTTAGTTGCCAGCGCAAGGTGGTCGCCAAACTGCGTGACGGTTGGCATTCTTATGCGCCTGTGGACAGAGGTCTTGGCCGTGTGGATGCCGCGGGGTTTGAGGCGCACGTGTCCGCGTTGCAGCCGACTCTGAGCAGGGTTTGAAGTTCGAGAACAAGTCGGAAGCCAGCAGCCGGCAGGTAGCGCGGCCACTACCCTTGCAAATCTGGCTGACCTGAATACAGTTTCCCGTTGCGCTCATAAGCCCGTGCAGCAATTAGAGACATTGGTTCTGGCGCACCGGCCAAGTTTATAGCTTGGAAAGCAGTATGAGCGCTGGATTGCGTTTTGGGTCACGCGGTCATTCAGACTGTTGGAGCTCTTGCCGATGTAAAGCCTTGTTTTGTATCCTTTGGGATTCTGTCCTGTCCGGAATGTGGCCTGGGCTGGCACGTGCAAGCTGCTGTTTGTCTCAGACATTGCCCTTGGAGGTCCGTCGCTTCGGGGCTTTTGAACCTTTTTTCGGTCACAGAACCTGCTGTTTATTGCCGGGGGTAGAAAAAAACCCTGGGGGGTTGAAAAAACCTGCAAGGGAAAAAACCCGTCCAGGGGTGGAAAAATTACTTCTGCTGGGATCGTGCACTGGGCGGGATCAAATAAGACCAAAGACTCTCTAAATCCCGTTTGGAGGTAAAAAGAAGCCCGGCAGTCGAAAAAACCTTTTCGAGGGTGAAAAAAACCCAGCTCCAGCGTGGCGCT